TTTTTTTTCTATAATGTTTTACAGGAAACCATTATGATAACTTCAGCCACAGTGGCTTCACATTCCGTAACCCAGAGGACGTTTTCAGGGAATTCTTTGGCGGGAGAGATCCGTTTGGAGATTTGTTTGGTAAGGCCGCCCTACTCTGCTCTGCACGCACGCGCACATACACATGCACGCACGCATCATGAAACGCTAATATGTTTCAGAAGTTGGGAAAAGAGGCTGTCTATTTGCATCTGGGAGCTATAGTTATCTTGTAAAATGTGTTTGGTAAAAAAATTTAAAAAAATCAACCCTCCAAAAAGTTTTTTTTCTTTGTGTGGAGAGCAATATGTTCTGTTACCTAATTAGTTTGCCCTCCCAGCCAGGCTTTTTCCTGTGGTGTTTAGTGCAGCTCTAGACGTAGAAGAAAAGTCCCGGTGTTAATCCCTCTGCCGTCCACTCAACACTCTTCCCAAAAAGATGTCCTCTGCCAATGAAGTCTCATGTAGATTCACTGCTGACTTTGCTTTCATTACATAACCTCCTCCATTTAGCAATTGTTTTGACCTTTCCTGTAACACAATCTTTAACTTGCGTTAAAAAGTAATCGGCCTTTTCCCATTTTAAATGGCGAAGACCTTTTTTTTTTTTTTTTTTTTTAACGACAGGAACTGTAAGTCTGCTTGCTGATTCCTCTCCGTACAGATATTTCCTTTGCATGGGAGTGCATTTCCATCATGTTGACAGCTGTATCAGATCTTATGTAACCTCCAAAGGGACTGTAAATAATGATTCTGGTTGGTTTCTGTCGTATTTGTTAAAGTATGTCTCCTGATAACGGTAAGAAGGCAAAGTATCAGAAGTTTTATCGTTTTTATAGCACATGTAGTGCTTCTTCGGGGGCGTCTGGGTTGAGCAGAAGGCTGATTGCATGTTGTACTTCACCTCGTGTTACTCTAAATAAGGAGTTCAGACGCAGGCAGGGGATGGATTGGAGCATCTACATCACTCAACTGGAATGCATTCAAAAATAGCTTCCGTGTTAAAACAAAAGCAGATGCAATAACGGCAAGCGTGTCCTCACCTCCTGCCTGAACGGACGTGGAATACGCCGATTCAGGATTTTTCCTCCTTTTCGTGACGTTACAGTTGCGTTGATATGGAAAGGGTGGCACGGTGGAGCTCGGCTGTTGCTGTTTACTTGTAAACAGTGACCATAAAACAAGATGGCCGGGTGGAAGAGTGAGATTTAGTTTCTGTTTTGACTTTAAATAGCCTTTATCACATTTGTCTGACTGGTAAACAGAGCGATGCATTACCTTGGAAAAGTATTCATACCTCTTGAACTTGTTTAAGAAACTTCACAAAAATATGTGTACTATGTCCTGTAATCCAATTACTTTTATTTGTTTGTTTGTTTTTTAAATGGAGTGCCTTAAATTCTCCTAACTAGTTGGTACAATCCACCTACTGGTGTTTTCTGAGCTTAGGTGATACTTAATTCTGGCCTGTGTTGAAAGAAAACGATATGAACATCTGTTTGCAGGATACAGAGTGGAGATGCTCTGGTCAGATTAAACCAAATGATGAATTGCTACCCTTAAACGGAAGTCCAGGAGGCACGGGATGTAACACGCAATATAGAAAATAAATCTAACAACCAACAACAAGCAGCTTTTATTGCTTAAGTTAAGGATTTCACACGGCTTAACAAAAAGTGGAAGCGATCAACTTCAAGGTCTCGAAGGCCAAACCAAACAAAAAAAAAAAACGCTCCCCTTTTGTGTGAAAGTAAAAGCTTTATCTGTTAAAAAAAAAAAAAAACATGAGTACAACGCCTAAACTTCCTGTTTGACCTAAAAACAAACTAGTTTAAAGAAAACGGCAAAGAACCCATGTTAATATCCCATCTAAAAGTGATGTCTTAACTTAAACATTTATCCAAACAATATCTAATCGCAGTATTACTTTAAGTACACAGGATTTACTTCAGTAGTCAATCAAATCACTGATGTCAAAGGGGAGAGGGTGTGGCGCTGGATTATTGAAGCGCTTATCCAGTCGCTCCAGTTGTTAGTGATCGTGAAAATTCATGCAAAATCAACAAATCTTTTTTCACACTAGTGCATAGTTGTGACTTTATTGCAAACTGGGGGGGTGGGGAGGATTATTTTTCGCACCTTGCAATAAGATATTCTTGGAACAGGTTTAATGACAAACGGTTAAAAAAAAAATTCCTTGTTAAAATATCAGCACAAAATCAGTGATTTTGATTGCAAGAAAAGGTGCTGTTAATGCGGTGGATTAACGGAGCATTTTACATGAAAGTCAAAACGTTGTGTGCTGCAACAACTGCTGCATAAATACCTGAACACACCATCCTGATGAGCTAATGTGGTAGGGGAAGCGTCATGCTGTGGTAACGCTTTTGAGTGTCGAGTCAGTTAGTCTTAATGAAACTCCATAGAGTAACTTAAAGCTTCTCAGCTCAATGTACCAATGGCAGAGAAGCAACTTACCATTCCAGGAAATCAGTTTATCCTCCGGCGGCTATGCTAACTGTCTTGAGCATGTATGGCAGGCTCCGTTGTGGGGAAACTAGCTGTAGCATAGCAATGATTGGTTGTTTCTGACCTAACGGTGTATTTATGCAGATGGCAATAGGACCACAGTAAGAAGGCAGAGGAGCTCGATTTTTATCCTTATCTTCACATCATCTCTTACAACATAGTGACCGTTTCAACAAATGTGTGTGTGTGTGTGTGTATATATATATATATATATATATATATATATATATATGTATTTATATTATTTTTTTTTAATAAAAGCTACATACTGCAACTTTAAGTCTTTTAAAAAAAGTGAACATATTGTTTCTCGTGCCAATTTTTACAGTACACAAAGTTCAGTTGGCATGTTTAGAAAGAACTCAGTCAGAGAATGTGTCTGATTTGTTTCTAAGTCCCATCCAGCCCTCTGCTCCTGAGGGTCCAGCAGCCTGTCTTGCTGAGCAGCAGCTGGTCCTGTAGATCTGTCACTCAGCCACATCAGAGGGACTAGCAGCTTGCAGGGAGGGGGTGTAGTGGCTGCAGTGTTCCCCTGGGACACGGACTCGCACCGCGATCCGGCCAAGATGTCTGCCAGGAACAGCAGACACTTGTCCTGAAATGAACATGGGATGAATCAGACTGGAGGAGAGAGAGAGAGATCAGCTGACTCTGCTCTGGGCTCCTCGCTGGTTTCACAGCAGAAATTTGACAGCAGCTCTGTTGGAGTTTGCTGCATTTCGACTTATACAAATTCTTGTTTGAGTAATGCTACAGCGTTTTTTTAACACCATTATTCAGTGTGTAATTTGCAGTCTCAATCCACATCTGCATTGATGCCCTCTATCTTTGTTTGTTTTTTTTTTTTGTTTTTTTTTTTTTGGGTACAGCCTCACTCTTCACTCAGATTTCCAAAAGCTGAATCACAGTTCAACAGCATTCCTTACAGCTTACATTCCTCTTTATTTTTCCACTGATGCGTAACTTCTGTGCTGAATCTCACCCGTGTGCGCTCGGAGGGCCACTTCTTGGTAAACAGAAACATGGGAGACTTTTATTTTAAGCTTTTCTCTCAGAGGGAACAAGCACATCATTCTTTCTTTTTTAAATGCACCCTTGGTACGCTCAAGGTTGAAGGAGGAGTCTTCTTTCAGTGCCAGTGATTCCAGCCTTATCCTGCCAGGGTGACCCAGATCGG